AAGGAGGGGTCTCTTTGCTCTACCCAAAGCCAGAGATCTTCTGTGGTTTCGTAACCAAAAAGTCCTTCTAATATAGGACTCATACGACTCTAAGAGGCGTCCAGACTAGTGTGAAGAAATAAGTGTCGCACCATCCCTTCCTCTGGCTCATCCCCTCCTTACCTAAGACTCTTGGCTTCCAGAAGCAGCATGGGAAACTTTATATGATTGCCCAAGAGCAGTTTTATCTCCTGTGAACAAAAGTCCTTTTACAGAAGCAGGTAGGTGTAACTTTGAATAACAAGTGGTTTGCCTGCAGAGGAGGGCCAGCACAAGGGGTTCCCTACAACTAAGGAACAGTCTTTTAAAAACTATTCTTTCTAGACAGCAGAAAATTCAGGGTGCCAGTGGCTGCTTTAATTTGTGAAAAGGTAGCTTTTAAATAACAGTTTTTGTTCAATTTGCAGGCTTGTGGATGTGCCGGATGAGCCATGGCGTCCTCCCAGTCCCTGTCTCTGCCCCGCTTTCTGGATATTGCTGCTCTTAATGTGCAGAACCTGTCGCCAACGGCACCCCCTCGTCTAACCTAACCCACCCGAAGCATTCCGACTTTTCAGAGCTGGGACAGCCTCCCCTTTGTGGTGCCTGTGACACTGTGACACCCCGACCAGGCAGAATTGTTTGATTTTGTCTTTGCTGTGGTGGCAGGGGAAAGGGGTGACAATTACAGTGTCAACTTGACTCACTCATTCCAAATGTGCTGACCTTGTGCAAGTTGGCGAAAATTTCTAATTAGATAGTTTTCATGTCATTTGTTTTTAAATGAAAAATACTTTATGCAGTTAGAAAATCTAAGAGTGAAGGATGATATTACGTGGAAAGCATGCCATAATCACGTCTGCAGTAGATGCGGTCCCCGCCTCAAACCTTGGTGCAGCCACCGCCCTGCCCACCGCTCAGGCACAGTGTCTGCTCTCTCTAGTCTCTGCCCTGAGTTGGGGGCAGGTGTGCACAGAAAGCCAGACAAAGATTCCACTGGATTTCTGAATGCATTTTCAAAACTTGAAACAGAAGCAACGTTTTAAAGAGCAAGGTGATTCTGGATTGCAAGAGCCTGGTTGTGGAGAAAGGTTTTTTGAATCCTGAAAGTTTGACTTTCAATATCAACAGCAGCCAAAGTTTCAGGAGAAGGAGCAAAATGAGGACCCCAGAGTTGCAGCCCAGTGGAGACCCGACACAAGGAACCCTTCATGCATATAGGGAGAGACATCGTGTTTTAGAGCAGGACCTGGACTTCACACTTTAGGGGGCCCTGGCTGGCCCTGCTCTAGTTCCATCACTTCCCACGGATGGAGAAATCTGCAGGGCCAGGGGGCATGGCATGCTCAAACTGGGCTATGCCTGTCCTTCTGGGCCACAATACCTGGAAGCCTGGGTCACCTGCCCCAAATACCCTGAGCCTGTTTCAAGTGACTGTGTGATTCAACTCCCAGGGTCTGTTTTCTCAGGCTGACGGTGCTGCTGGTGTGCATACCCGAGCCCCCGTAAGGCAGCTGTGGGGAGCAGTCCTGATGGGAGTGGGGTGTGCACTGTGTGCTGGGGATATCCTCACATGTGCCCCCAGGCTCCTCAAGGGACAGGTCTGAGCCAAAGGAGGGAGTGAGGGGTGTTGGGCTCAAGAGGAACTGGCTGAGGCCCTGACAACTTTTAGGGATGGGCTTGTTTCTGGGATCTTCTGCTTGTCTTATCTTTTCTTTCTTTTTTCAAAAGATTTTATTTTTAGAGAGAGGGGGAGGGAGGGAGGGAAAGAGGGAGAGGAACATTGATGTGAGAGAGAAACATCGAACAGTTGCCTCTCGAACGCTCCCAACCAGGGACCAAACCTGCAACCTACGCATGTGCCCTGACCAGGAGTCAACTGTTGGCCTTTCACTTTGCGGAAGGACACACTCCAACCAACCGAGCCACACCCGTCAAGGCTCTTTTTTTTTCCTTTTAAAGGTTTATTTTATTCTCATTCGAGACAGAGGGGAAGGGTGAGAGGGAGAGACACATCGATGTGAGAAACACCTGCCTCCTGCTTGCGCCCCAGTGGATCGAGCCCCCAACCTGGGTGCGTGTTCTGACTGGGAATTGAACTGGTGACCTTTCAGTTACGGATGACACTGCAACCAACTGAGCCACTCCGGCCAGGATGTCTTCTTATCTTTTCTAAACTCCGCTTCATTCTTATTGTCCGAGCACTTCAGGTCTTCATAATTCAGTAGCATCCTTGAGCCAAAGTGGCCTCTGAGGCTGTTGGAGCTGAGATGGAGGCGGAGGGGGTGGGCCGGGGCAGGTGTTCAGGCCCCTGTGGGAGGACCCAGAGACGAGTGCTGGAGGTGGGTATAGGACTGGTTCTGAGGTAGGAAATGAGATCAGGTGGAGATGGAGCCTGGGTGTTGGGACTAGAAATAGGGATGGGGCTCGTCTTGCAGCTGAGGTTTACACCGGGATCAGGATTGGAGTTGGATCCAAGGTTGGCATGGGGTTGGGGCTGAAGTTAAATTGAATATGGGGGGAGGATTAGGCTTTGTGTTTGAAACCAAAAGTGAGGTTAGGTCTCAAGCTCGCATTGCTGAGAGGGGTCGTGTTGGGCCTGGGACTGAGTTTGGGGTGGAGGGTGGGGACAGGACCAGGTTGGAGTTGCATTTGGGACTGAGCTTGAATTTACTGATGAATTTAGAGCTAAGGCTGGGATGAAATTTGGGCTGGGGGTTGGGTTCAGGCTGGAGCTGAGTCTGAAGCAGCAGGTGGGGCTGCCATTGCACTGACTCGAGGCTGTCTAACCGGATCTACAGGTCAGTGGAGAGACAGAGTCTCCATCTTCTCTAAGTAGGAATTCAATCTGTGGCCTATACTCCCATTTATTTCCACCCAAAACACAAAGACACCCTCTCTTCCGTTCCTTTATATCCTCCTGCCTCCTCAGTCCAGTTACCTGCAAAAAGTTGGGGAAAATGATTCCTGGGTTCCTCAGGCAACGCAGGACCCAGAGTCAGGAGATTCTGGAGGGCCATAAACTCAGATTCCACACAAAGCAGCTGGGTCCTTCCTGACTGTGTGTGGAAGCACCCGGAATCCTGTACCCTGAAACCTCCCAGCCCCTGGCTGTGGACAGTGAAATCAGAGGGGGCTGGAACACAGAAAGAGGGTTATGTGGGTGGGAGTGGGGGATGAACCCCACTTAGTACCCCTCTTCCACGGTGCATTTCCTCTCCTTTCCCTTTCTTTCCAGCTCCCCAACTTCCTCATTTTACAATTTGGGTGGGGAACAGGACCAGAAGGGGCCAAGGGTAAAGTTTGTTTTTTCCTTCTGCCATATCCTTTTTCACTTCCTGCCTCTGAATTCCCCTAAATTGTTGACATCCTCAGATATTTTTTTCTCAATTCCAGAGGAACCCACTCCTCTTGCCCAATGCAAACCTGGGCTTCTAGAATCTGCACCCTGATCCAGCTTCATGAGGTGGCTCAGCCACCAGGGAGCCCAGCTCTGGCTTTTCCTCCATTCATAAGTAAAAATCAACTGAGGACGCAAGACCATGGAGAAGGAGGAGAGAGGGTGACAGAGAAGAGGATTTCTTGCCTGGACCAGGAGGGGAGAAGCCAGGGATAGGAGCAAACTTTTACTGTGCATCACATCTCTAATTGGGATTGAGCCAAACACTTGGTCCATTAACCATTCAATTCCCACAAGAATCTAAGGAGGCATTTTGGATGATGTTTGTTCATTGAGTGGTGTGCTCGAACTCTCATACAGGGGACAGCCAGGAGTCAAGCACAGTGCTGCCGACCATCCTGGCCTGGGCTTTCTACACACATGCTGTCTTCACAAAAGGGATTCCGTTCCCACCAGTGAACCCTGTAAATCCTGCTAAGAGGGCTTCCTTGATACCATCCCTTAAAATTGGAGGGAACTTGAGTGTCTTGAAAGGTGAAGAGGGACAGCAAATACATTGTAGTTTACGTATTTCACATTAATAGGATCATCTGTACCTCACCTTTTTATTTTATCTTTTAACTTAATCTTTATTGTATTTTTCCATTACTATTTAGTCCCTTTATACTCCCTGCCTCCATACCTCACCTTTTAAAAAATTATTTTATTTTTAGAGAGAGGGGAAGGGAGGGAGAAAGACAGGGAGAGAAATTTCAATGTGAGAGTGAAACATCAATCAGTTGCCTCTCATATGCATCACGACCAGGACCAAACCACTGAACCACAAACCAGGCATGTGACCTGACTGGGAACTGGACTGGCAACCTTTCACTTTGCAGGATGAATATCCAACTGAGCCACACAGGTCAGGGCTGCACCTTGCCTTTTAAAAAATTATTATTTAAAAGATTTTCTTTTTTGTGTGTTTAGAGAGAGGAAGGGAGGAAGAAAGAGAGGAGAGAAATATTCATGTGCAGGAGATACATTGATGGGTTGCCTTTCACATGCCCCCACTGGGGACCTGGTTCCCTAACTCAGGCATGTGCTCCGACCAGAAGTTGAACTGGTGACCTTTGGGTTCACAGGCTGGCACCCAATCTGAGCCACACCAACCAGGGTGCACCTTGCCATTTTTAAATGAACAATATTACATTAACATCCCTCCATGTCAGAAATAAAGATAAGGGTAGGATCAAGGGTGGGAAGTGGGGATGGCTGGGATTGGGGGGCATGGTAGGGACAAAATGGAGACAACTGTACAAAATGGAGACAACTGTACTTGAACAACAATAAAAAAAATGTGGAAAAAGATAAAGACATATTCCACTCACTTTAGCATCTGTACAGTGTCTTATCTGTTCTCTCTTGGGCAGGAAATGACTGCTGTGTTCAGGGAATGGCAAGGAGGCTGGCGTGGCCAGAGTGGACTGAGCAGGGGAAGGGAGCAGCAGATGGGTGGGAGGGTCCAGGGGTGTAAAGTAACTGGGCATTGAGGGCCACTGGAAAGGACTAGCTTCTAATCTCAGGCCAACAGGAAGTTACAGAAAGCTTTGACACAGGACTCACACGAGGAGCTCACAGGACCTGCAACAGGATCACTCTGCCTGCTAGGTTGTGTGTGACTCGTAGGAAGGGTGGCAGGGATGACAGCATCCAGCGGGGCCATTGCAATATTCCAGGTGAGGAGCCGTGATGGCTTGGCCAGGGTCATGAAGGTGGGTTGGGGAAAAGGTTCACATTCTGGACGTGTTTTCAAGGTAACACTGCCAGGACTTGCTGATGGACTGAATGAAGGGTTTGAGAGAATGACAGAGTCAAGGATAATGTCAGATTGGGGGCTTGAGAAATGAGAAGGATGGAGTCCCGGTTCACTGAGATAAGGAAGATTGTGAGACAAGCTGGTTCTGTGGGTGGGATGAGGACATAAGCCTTGTGTTGGGCATGTCATGTCTGAATAGCCTGTCGACTGGCTGGATGGAGGTTTATTGAATGGAGGTTTATTCTGCCCCCCACCTGGATTCTTTGGTGAACAATGATAATTTCTTCAAAAAGGTTTAGTCAGTCCCAGCAAGATACAGATGGCAGTACAGAGAAATTTAACTGAAAAGAGTTTAATGAAGGGACATTTATAGAATGTGAACGCCCACCACAGGTGGGTGAAGCCTCCCGTGACTGGACGCAGCAATACTGCTACCATGCCTAGGGGGAAGGCAGAGGAGGAAGGGCCATGGTACTGGAGCCGTGAGCGGCCCTGGAGCATGGAGGAGGGCCACCTGGAAGGAGCATTAAATGCAATTCCACCAGAGCCATGACAACTAGACAAGAGCAAGAGAACCAGTACATAGTAGTTCTCTTTTCCTTCCCTCTGAGCTCCTACCAGTGCCCGCCTTCCGCTGGAAGGACCCCAAAAGGAGGTCCTGTGGCAAAGGGGTCGTCATGATGCAGTCCATAGTGATCAGTGTCCTGGAGCACAGCGGGGCAGAAGAGATGGAGAGAGCTCTGGACAGACACCCAAAGAACAACCAGCACAGTTCCCTGTTTTCACCACTCAGCATTTATTCTTGTTCTTCACTTGGCTGAAGAAACTCATGCCCTCAAACACAGGGGTAAAAACATACATAGTTTATGTGTCATTAAGCGATGCTGATTAATCAGTCACACTCTCAGCTGGAATCTTAGTGTAATGCTAGTCTTGCAAGTACATTTCCTATGGGTTAGCAGCGGGGCAGGGGGATTTAATTAACATGAACTACAGTTCTATTGTCTGTTTCAGTAGCTGGTTGTGAGGCATGAAATGGTATACATAGTTTCTTTCCTCCACCCACTTTCCATGGTCCCTTTGTCCTCTGCTAGAAGCTCAGTTTAGCAGGGTTGTTTTTCACTTGGTGGGCTGACTGAACTTTCATCCTCCCTCAGCACAAGCCCTCACCAGTTCCTATCTTGCCTGGGTTGCCACTATTTGCCACTGACCATTATTTCTGGTCATAGAAGTACTGAAACCACTCCAGTAACTCCTCTGGGTTTCAGATATAATCCTCTTTGCCCCAGAATGTAACAACTCCCCATTTTCCCTTGGTCATTGGGATCAATCTCTTTCTCCAGAAGAACTGTCTCCTCTGCCTGCTGTTGGTTCAGTGGCAAAAGGAGCCTAAATGAACAGGAATTATTCTCAGATATCAACTTTATGGAACAATGACTATGTCCTCATGGAAACATTCTTTTCTTGGGCACTACGGTCCCCAAACTAACTGAACCTGAGATTGCAAGACAGGAAGCAAAAAATCCATAAGTGGAGTACTAGGTAGATTAGTGAGAGGAAACACTCCCACCTCCAGCCTTGGACCCCAGACTTTGCACTGTCTCCAAAAGAGATGGCATCATATATCATCTCATGAAGGGCAGTGCAAGTGTGGTAACTTGGCCCTAACATTTGAAGGTCAGTCTGACAGACCCAAGATCACTGAGTGTCAGCAGAGTTTATGGCACTGCTCCAGCATGCGTGTGTCTGACAGACATCAAGGGTGCTTGCTCGTTCTCTCCTCCTGGTCTGGTGAAATTAGCATAATGTTATTAATATACAATTGTACCATGTATTTTGTGCAATAGCAAGGTGATACAAGTCCCAGATGCCCTCCAGACTATATCATGATAAAGAACAGTAGAGTCAGCATAGAGCTGACGTAGCCCATCTATTGTGATAGAGAACAGTAACTTTGACATAGGCAAGACAAGGAATGTGCACTGCTGTGCTTTCCTATGAAGGCAAATTGTTTCTCATTATCTTTGTTAACAGAATTTTTTCTTTACAAAGCATTTGATAAGTAAATACCTGAATCTTAGGTACCAGTGAATGTGTTGAATTGTTTCAGTAAAGATCATTCATCTTGAGCCTTATTTACAATTGTATCACATCTTAGTGAAGTTTTATAATTGTCCCCAGACACAATTTTCCTAGACTTTGGCAGTCTAGCACCACATGGCTCTAGATTTGCTGGCCATGCCACAGGATGCTCATTACGTTCATTGCTACTTCATGTTCACCTATTTATTTTATTTATTTATTCACTTTTTTGGCCACCCAGCCTCTGACCATCCTGCTTTTGCTTTCCCATTAGAACTTAGCATTAATAAACTTTGCTTGCATGCTAGTAGGCTTGCTGGTCTGTAATTCTTTACTGCATCGGCAAGAAGAACCAAGTTTCTGGGAGTTCTCTTATAGCAGTTTTAATATTTATATAGTAAATATTTACCTTTAAATACAGTAAAAATGTTTACTAACTTTTTAAGGCAAATGTATTCAAAGGAATTAAGCAAAATAATTTACATTTATTTAAATATTCAGAGCAAGATACATTTTTATTCAAACTAGGAGAAGCACTGTAACAGAATAGCTCATTCGCATTCCACAAAGCATTGTTACTTACAATTTTTTAAAATGTATTTATGGAGGTGTAATAGGTATGTGTGGTTATATATGGGAATATGTATATACAAATATATAAATATAGGTTATAGTGGTTTAAAATGTAATCTGATTTCAAACCCTATTTTTTGAATACTAGTCGCAGAATTCTCCAGCTGCTCAGCTTTTAGGAAGTTACTTTTATTTTTTAGATTTCAGTTCCATTATCTGTGAAATGGAAGTAATAATATCTAAAACAGAATTTTGTGAAATTAGTCTTATGGGAAGTTCTTTACTAGCACTGGTCACATAATAAATTCATAGTATAATCAGGCCTATAATTATAGCAGATAAATGGTTTAGAAACTATTAGTTTCTTACTGATGCTATAAAAACTATCATATGTTCAGCATCTTACAGGAACACAAACTTACTACCTTTTAGTTCTTTACTTCAGAAGCCTTAGTTAGGTGTTTCTGGGCTAAAATGTAGAGCAGCTTTCTGTAGTCTGTAGGGTAGAATAGGTTTGCTCACTTGAGTTGTTGGCAGAATTCAGTTTCTTGCTGCTATAGAATTCAGGTCCCATTTCCTTGTGAGCTGAGGGCTTCTCTATGCTTCAGGAAGATGCCAGCATTCCTCAGTCCCCCCATTTTCAAAGGCAGCCGCCGCAGACTGGGTTCCTCTCACACTGAATCTCTCTTGCCTTTTCTGCTTCCTCTCCCCTCACAGTCACCATTTAAATGAATCAGGACGAGTCAGCCTTGTTTAGTGATCAAGGAAAATGTTTTGAGATTATTTATGATCACAAGAGGACTTTTAGAAAAAGTATCCAAAGCATAAAGATAGGCAAAACACAGAATGTATGTCTATAATTGTCATACAATTGTCTAAGAGACACACTCAAGAATCATCTAACTCTTTAGGGGAAATATACTTTTGCTTAGCTTATATGTAATATCAATTAGCATATGTTAAAGCTCTGTAATAAAGCTGAGAGCAAGGCAAATTATTCTTGTCCAATAGCAACACAAATGATTTCCATTTGGTAGGAAAAATTACCCAAAGATTACAGGCTTATTGTCCAGTAGAGTAAATAAGTTTTGCATCTAGTTTAGGAGTAGGATTCTAGTAATCTTTTTTTCTACTTCTAACAATATTTCAGTTTATGATATATTCCCCTTTATTAGCTCTACCATGTTATTGACTTCCTCATTAATAAGTTAAATACATTTTAACTGACTTTCAATATATAATGGGTAAGTCAGAATACATACATGCAGGAAAACATGCAATAGAATGTTTTGACACGATTTTCTCTGATCTTTGGTGCTATAATGACACCTTTAAATGTAAGAAGCTAGTATTTAAGAAAAAGTTCTAGAACTAACAAAATAATTTGTCAACATGCCTGAATAAAGGTCATTATAAAATATTAGTTATTTTACACCAAGGCTCTTATTCTGTGACCTTGACCTCCTTAAGGTCCATGAGACCTACTTAGGGATCCACAAAGTCAAAATTACTTTTCCAATAATGCCAATAATTCAAAGTGCCCCCCATGATTCTGGGAGGAACTAAGTGGTTAATTTTTAGCATGTGTCTGACACAATCCCCATCATAAATTTGATGCTCAATAAATTTTGTTCCTGTCCCAGCTCCTCCCTTCCCAATGTGTCCATGAACCCTGCTCTCTTTCCCCTCTTTCCTCCCTTGGATAGGGCAAGGGAAGCTGGGCCAGAGGAGGAGGAGTGTGATGGCTGACACTCCAGAGGAAGATCAGATGGCAGGGACTCAGGACAAGGCTGAACAAGGGCAGACCTGGGTGTGCAATGGTGGAGACACCAACAATTCCAGGAAATTCAGATGCAGGAAGTGAAAGGGGGTGGGACAGGGAAGAACAAACGGACTATACCTCTGATCTCTTCTGATCCAGACACATCTTCCAAGAAATAAAAATGAGGAAGTCAAGAAAACTGAAAAGAAATGAAAAGAGAGGAGACACACCCCGGAGGAGGAGATCAAAGCTGGCCCCATATATAACATCTTCATGCATGCAGTCTCTGCCTGTGTTCTGATTATTATTTACTGCCCAAAGTTGAGGACATGGGAGATCCCAGATTATAGACTCCTGAGCTCTCAGACACAGGGACCAGCAGGACTCCAGGCACTTATGTGACTCCTCCCTTGGTCTCCTCTACTCCACTCTCCAGGATTTCATTTTATCCAACTCTACTCATTGCTGCCCAACAAAACCAAGCATCACAGCCTCCAGTCTTTGCACAGGTAACTGGGCTGGGGATGCAGGTGAGACCAAGGGGACAGGGAGGGAGTCAGAGAAAGGAGGAAGAGGGGACCATAGGTCTCAAGTAGAATGAATAGGAAGAGATACAAAAAGGCAGCTGGGAGATTTAATGACCAAGTGGAGATTCTATTCACTTCACTGGATTTGGCTTTAAGTTGGCAGCCAAACATCAGTCACAAACTGCAACCCACACTCAGCCCCATCTCCATCCCACTTCCAGCCCTATCCTCATCCCCCAGCCAGGCCACACCACTAACTTTAATACTAACCCAACTTGTCCTTTAACTCCCACCCAGAGCTTCAATCCCAGAGTCAACCTGAATATTAATACCAGTTCCAACCCTAAGTTGACCCTCCAGCCTGCTCTATTTCCAGCTTTAGGGCCAAGTTAGGCCACACTCTATCCATGGCATCAACATGAGTATTGACTCCAGCCCTAGGAGGAAATGCAACCTCAATTGTAGCCCCAATGATAGCCCCATCCTACTAATAAATTTAGCTTCAACTTTACTTCTACCTTCACCAACACTCAACCTTACCCTGCCGCAAAGATCAGTCCTGACCTCATTTCTGACCTCAGCTGAAAAGCCGTGCCCAATCCCATTTCTAGTCCTACCCCTGGCTCATCCTCAACCTGAACTTCTCTTACCTCAACTCCAGCCCTGACCTCAGCTTCAATACAGTCCCAGCCTCCCCAGTTCCCACAAATTCAGCCCCAGCCTGGCCCTGGCCCTGCTTGCATTTCAGCTCTGACAGCCTCGGACTTGCTCCAACCATGTCAATGACATATGAGAACCTCCAGTCCTTGGAGAGTGAAAAGAAAAGCCAGAGGATTAGAAATGGTAAGAAGAAGAAAGGTGTCTCCCAAAATACCCTCATAATATAATTAGAAGGACCTGTTGTCATAGCACATCTGCACAGCATGTGCACTGCTGGGGTTCCACTCAGAGGGCTCAGGATTCCCATAAGAAAAAGATTCAAGGTCCTTGAAAAGACAGGATGGGGGAACATGGTAGGACTTGTGGCCCATTCTCTGGTTCAGGGCTGATCATTTGCACTTGGGGAGTGAATAGTTGTGTTTGGAAAGGAAACATTTGCTAACTGACAATACAGATAAGCATTAGTCTGCTGAGGGCCTGGCTGGCCCAACTCTCTGTGTCTGCCTGCCCCCCACCAGCCCTGATGATAAGACTTTACATATCACCATCAGGTGCCATGAGGTGGGTGAGGGCCCATGTGGTTAAGGACTGTGCTGGTCCATGAGTGGTCAGAGGCCTGGGCATCCCCTGCACCACAGCCTCCCCCAGCTTTCCCTGTACCCTTCCTTCCTGACAGGTCCCTGTGGCCTCTCCTCCTCCCCTGTCTCTCTCCTGTCTTGGTCCTCCTTGTCCTGAAGTCCTCTCCTCTTTCAGGGCTGCATGCACCCCAGGTCTTCCTACAGCATCTCTGCTCTGGACCACGCCTCTTCCTGCTCTTCCTGGGCCTCAGCCTCTTCCTGCTGGTCGGCATCTGTGTGGTTGGATCCAAAAGTGAGGGTCACGGGGGGGGGCAGTTATGGGGGCAATAGTGGGTGGGGTTCAGTGATGTGAGCACTGATGATGATCATGTGGATAAAGACGGCTACTGGATCAGTTCCTTGTTCCTGTGTAATGTAGTCAAATTACCTAACCTCTCTCAGCCTTACTTTCCTCATCAGCAAGCTTGGACAACAGTGCCTGTCCCTTTGGGATGAGTGGCAGTGAGGACCCAATGAGACAATGCATGTCAAGTGCCCCACTTGGTGCCAGCACAGGAAGCACCTGATGACTCTTAGCACTCAGTATGCTGTGTGTCTGATCAGGTTCCAAGATTCAGAGGGACCTGGAGACTCTGAGAGCAACTTACAGCAACTTTACCTCAAACACTGAGGCAGAGATCCAGGCACTGCATGCCCAGGGTGAGCCTGGCTGGAAGGGGCTCTGGATTGGAATGAGGGGGTTGGGGGGAAGGGAGCTGAATACCAAGCACTGAGTCCCCATGTCCTCCAGGTGGCCGCTTGCAAGAAACGATAACATCTCTGAAAGTGGTGGTAGAAAACCAGGGGCAGCAGCTGCAAGCAGGTGAGAGACCCACCAGGAATGTGTGTGCCAGGGTGGAGCAGGGTCGGGTGGGACTTTTAGGACACAGGTGGGGTAGGAGCAGCCTGGGGTGCTGAGTGCCCTCCCCTCCAGCCCGCAGCTTGAATGACAAGGTGTTGTCTCTGGAGAGCAAGCTGGAGAAAGAGCAGCAGGAACTCAAAGCAGGTCAGGCCCCTTCTCCCCTCCACTGGACCTGATGTGGTGGGAGGACAGCTAGGATGCAGGGCTGAGCCCCCTGGAGTGTCCCACTGTCCTTCTGCGTGTCCCAGGCTATTCTGACATGGTTGTGCGAGTCCAGGAGCTGGTCAGAGACCTGAACTCCCTAAGTTGCCAGATGGCTGTGCTCAAGAGCAATGGTGAGTGGAGTGCAGGGAGTGCCTAGCCCCATCTCCTGCCCTTGTCCCACTGGGCAGCATCTCAGACCCTCCCCACACCCACCCTTCAGGCTCCCAGAAGTCCTGCTGCCCCATTAACTGGTTGGAGCATGAAGGCAGCTGCTACTGGTTCTCCAGTACTGGGAAGCCCTGGCCTGAAGCTGAGAATTACTGCCATATGGCAAACTCACACCTGGTGGTTATCAACTCTAGACAGGAGCAGGTAAGGTCTCTGGTGCTTAAGTCCAAGACATGGCCTCTTTAAGGAAATAGTTCTCAGTGGGAGCTGCACATTGGCATCACCAAGGGAGTTTTAAAAACACTACTATGTGAGCTCTCCCTCACAGATTTATAGCCACGGGCCACAGAATGATGTTTCTGTCAATGACTGACCAAATACAGAACAGTTGTCTCATAAGATAGTAAGAGAGCTGGAAAATTCCTCTGTAGTGAGCAGTAGCCATGAAAATGTCGTATTACAGTGCATTACTCATGGGTTTGTAGTGATGCTGGTGTAACACACCTACTTCACTGCCTGTCGTTTACATATAAAATTCAGCACTTATAATTATGTACAGTACAATCTGCTTGAAAGTGATAATAATTACTGATTTATGTATTTATACTATACTTTTTATCATTATTTTAGAATGTGATTTTTCTACTTGTGAAAGCTGTGAAAGAGTATGCCATGTTTTGCTGGCCGCAGCCACATACATCTTGTGTTTTTGTATCTCTTGAGTGCATCCTTTTCTCTAGTGTTTGATTTTATCTCCTGTGGTTTTGTACGGTGACACACCCACATTGGCTCACAGCCTAGGAGCAGTAGGCTATAGCATACAGCCTAGGTTTGCTGAGTGCACTCTGTGATGTTCACACAATGACAATTTTCTGCCCCTGTCCTTAATCCATGCATGACAGTAATTGGCCTGTGCATTGGGATAAACATCCCAAATCCCCTCAACTGATTTAATATAAATGTAAAATTTAGAATGCGTAGTCCAAGGAGTTGGCTGGGATGGGGAGAGGTCACGGATGTCATTCCATTGTCCCAGGATTTTGTCCAGCAACATATAGGCTCCTCATACACCTGGATGGGCCTCAGTGATCCTGAAGGAGTCTGGAAATGGGTGGATGGGACAGACTATGAGACCAGCTTCAAGTGAGTACACCTGCTTTCCGTGCCCTTCTTCCTCCTTCAGCTCTGCTGCCAGAGGATCTGATATGCAGCCCCTTCTTCCCAGCCCTGGATTCTGTTCCATCTGACCTTTCTAGCTTGCTCTTGCCCTCCCCCCTCAGGAACTGGAAGCCAGGCCAGCCAGACGACTGGCACGGGCATGGGCTGGGTGGAGGTGAGGACTGTGCCCACTTCCACCCTGATGGCAGGTGGAATGACGACGCCTGCCAGAGGCCCTACCACTGGATCTGTGAGGGCAGCCTGGGCAAGTTTACATAGGAGTGTCTGAGAGCTGCTTCCTGTGGACCACTCAACCATGGAAATGGCAGGGATGGGGGAGAGGGATTCTTCCAAGACACCCCTAACAAGAGCCCTGGGAGATCAGAGTGCTACCATTATGTTAAAGTTTTTTCTCCTCAACTTTCAAAAGACTGTATAGAGTTACTAAGATGTTTTTTAAAAATTAAATTTCAGCTCTATTGAGGTATGATTGATATATAAAATTTTAAGTTACTTAAAGTGTACCTCATGGTGATTTATATACGTATACATTGTAAAAGATTCCCCCATCTACTTCATTAACACATCCATAACATATACATACACATCTATCTTTTGTGTGTGCAAACACTTTTTACTCTCAGCAAATTTCAATTCTACTACACAGTGTTATCAACTGTAGTCACCATGTTTCCCATTAGGTTCTCAGACTTTATTCATTTTATAACTGTAGTTTGTATGCAGTTACCAACATTTATTTTCCCCACTCCCAGACAACCACTTTTCTACTGCTTCTATGAATTTTAGTTTTTTTAGATTCCACATATAAGTGAGGCTTTGCAGTATTTGTCTTTCTCAGTCTGGCTTACTTCATGTGGAGGAATGCCCTCAAGGTCCATCCATGTCATAGCAAATGGCAGGATTTTTCTACCTCACGGTCAAATAATAATTCATTGTACATACATGCCACATCTTCTTTATCTAGTCATCCATTGATGAACACTTAGGTTACTCCCTTATCTTGGCTATTGTTAGTAATGCTGCAGTGAACATGGAGGTGCAGGCATCCCTTTGCTTTCCTGTTTTCATTTCCTTTAGATCTATATCCAGAAGTGGGATTGCTGGATCATATGGCAGTTCTATTTTTAATTTATAAAGTAACCTTCATATTGTTTTGCACAGTTCCTGCACCAGTTTACATTCCCATCAGTAGTGCCTAAGGGTTCCCTATCTCCATAGTTTCACAAACCTAAGTTTTTTTAACTTAAAAAATCAACTTGTTGAGGTATAATCCTTACACAATAAAATGCACCCACTTAAAGAGTAGAGATGACTTTTGAAAAATATAAATACCTAGGTAACTACAACTCAAACAAGTTATAGGATGTTTCCATATCCCCAAGTTCCCTAGTTCCCCTTTGCAGTCTAACCCACTTCCTTATTGCCAGGCAGCTAATAGTCTTCTTTGTTTCATTATTGATTGGTTTTGCCTATTCTAGAATTTCATATAAATGAAATCACACAGTATATACTCTTTTGTGAAACTTTATGCATTTCATGTTGACTGATTTCTAGCAACCATAGAATACAGAGGAGAAGCTGGTGAGGATTTTGACAGACCTGTGTTATAGTGAAAAGAACATTTTCTTTCATGTGCATTGAATTCCATTTTTTTCTGTCACTTAAAAGCTGTGTATACTTGGTGTGATAAGGAAAAGTGATTGCTTAATATCTTTGAAGATCCTAGAGTTGTTGGGAAAAGTAAATAACATCCCCAGGTGTATTCATTAGCTACTGCTGTGTACTAAACCACCTCAGTGTCCAGTGGCTTAAAACAATAAGCATCTATTATAGCTGATGCATCTATAGGTCAGCTGGGTGATTTTTTGGTCTGGCCAGACTTGGCTCATCTTAGCTGGGCTCATTCATGTATTTGAGGTTAGCTGGTGGGTTGGCAGGGAGCTGGCTGGTTTAGAACAGCCTCACTCCCATGTCTGACATTTGCCTGACTCTGGGCTGGGACAATGGGACGACTGGGTCATTTTTAGGCTAGCCTTGGCTTATTCACATAGTGCTTGGGCAGGGCTCAAAAAGAGTAACTAGAAAAATGCAAGGACTCTGGAGTCTTAGTTTTGGAACAAACATCACTTCTGCTAAATCCTGTTGGCCAATGTAGATCACAAGGCAGCCTCAATTCAAGGAGGCAGGGAATAGACTCTACCTTTTGATGGGAAGAGCTATAAAGCCATATAGTGAAGAGAATGGATATAGGGAGTGGTGGAGATTGGTATGTTTTTCAATCAATCTGGCATACCAGAGGAAGCATCTCAGCTATAAAGAACCATCCCAGAACTAAGGGTTCTCATTAAGAGAGGCCAGGACTCATGCATTGCTGTATCTTTGCACCTATGCAGGTACCTGGCAAATAGGAGGGTTTCAGTTAGTGTTAATTAAAAATAAAGAAGGTGATGTTAGTAGGAATGTATAAGAAGGACAAAAATTATCTCCTGGGAGACAGCTCACCTTCACTTCTCCCTGCCTACTAGCATCACATGACAATAATCAGACTGGGTACCTGGTGACTCACTGAGAATCTATCTCAGATAATTGTGTACCACAAAAGGATCTTTCAGTGGCCGAGCCTAACAGGCAGCCATCACGCTGAGGCAGGTATAAGTGAATCTCGGGGTGCCTTGGGCCTTTTGCTGACTTGCTCTCAAGCTCAGTGCTGGTAGAAGCCAGCTTTGATGCCCACCTTGGACCCTTCCACACACATCCAGCCAAGCAGAAGCAGCCAAAAACTATGGATTGCTTTGTAGCTCCATATAGGTAGCCCAGGGCCAGACACAGTCAGCATCTGACATTGACTGCACTGGAGTCCCTTTCAAGATGCTCCAGAACCAAGATACCCAATGCTGAGCTTTAGGCCACACCACAACAGAACCTAATTAACTCCACAAGTAGCACATCTAAAGGGAGTATTTAAGCAGGCACCAGACCCTGCTAAGGCAAATTCTGCTTCATGTGATCTGTACCCACACAGCAGCTCATACACTGTGATTGGGGTTGATTCTTACTGTCAGCCAGCCTAGAGGTCAACCACACACATGGAGGAGCCAACAGCAATCAAGGCTCAACTATAATAGGGAGGTTCACATAACCCACACAGGGAACATTTCTAGAGCACCTTGCTCAAATGTTAAGGGCAGCTATGTGACTGAGTCCCCCAGGATACCTACTACATAAGGTCCCCCTACCAAGACTGGGAGTCATAGCAGGTTTATCTAATACACAGAACAAATACAGAGAGACAGCCAAAATGGGAAGACAGGAAACATGCCCTGAATAAAAGAACAGGAGCAATCCTCAGAAAAAAAAAAAAAAACTAAATGAAATGGAGGCAAGTGATCTACCAGATACAAAGCTCAAAACAGTGGCTATAAGGATGCTCAAGGAACTCAGGGGAAGAATGAACGAACTCAGTGAGAGCATAAACAACAACAATAACAAAAAAGAGATAGTAAGCATAAAAGGGGACATATAGAAACAAAAAAACAGGCAGAAATGAATATTATAATATCTCAAATGAAGAATACACTAGAAGGAACCAATAGTAGATTAGATGAAGCAAAGGATAAAATTAGGAATTTGGAACACAAGTTAGTGGGAGACAGCCAATCAGAGCAGCAAACAGAAAAAAGAATTTTTAAAAATTAGTATAGTCTAAGTGACCCTTGGTATTAAATGAAACATAACAATATGTACATCATAGAGGTACTAGAAAGAGAAGGCAGAGAGCAAGGAATTGAGAACGCATTTGAAGAAATAATGACTGAAAACTTCCCTAACCTAGTGAAGGAAAAACACACACAAGTCCAGGAAGCACAGAGAATCCAAACAAGATGAACCCAAAGAGGCCCATGCCAAGACACATCATAACTAGAATGCCAAAGGTTAAAGACAAAGAGAATCTTAGAAACAGCAATAGAAAGACAGTTAGTTGCCTAAGAGGGACATCCCATGACACTGTCAGATGATTCCTCAACAGAAATATTTCAGGCCAGAGGAATTGGCATGAAATATTCAAAGTTATGAAAAGGAAGGACCTACAACTAAGACTACTCTATGCAGCAAGGCTATCATTTAAAATTGAGGGAGAAATAAAGAGCTTCCCAGACAATAAAAAGCTAAAAGAGCTTATTACTACCAGACAAGCATTACAAGAAATGAAAAAGGGACTTTTTTAAGAAGAGAAAGAAAAGGAACATAATTATAAAGAGTAAAATGGCAATAAATACATACCTATCAATAATCATTTTAATGCAGATCACATGGAGGGTTATCAACAGGGGGGTGGGAGGAGGAGAGAGGGGGAAAAGGTACAGAGAATAAGTAGCATAAATGGTAGGTAGCAAATAGACAGGGGGAAGTTAAGAATAGTATGGGAAATGTAGAAGCCAAAGAACTTATATGTATGACCCGTGAACATGAGATAAAGAGAGGGTGGGGATGTGGGTGAGAGGGGGTGTGCAGGGAGGAGAGGAATAAAGGGGGGGGAAATGGGACAACTGTAATAGCATAATCAATAAAATATCTTATTAAAAATAAATAATCATTTTAAGTGTAAAAGGCTTAAATGCTCCAATTAAAAGGTATCAGGTAGCTGAATGGACAAGAAAACAAGACCCATACTTGTATGCTGTCTACAAGAGACCCACCTCAGAATGAAAGATACACACACACTGAGAGTAAAGGGGTGGAAAAAGATATTTCATGCAAATGGAATGTAAAGGAAAAAAGGCTGGGCTCTGCAGCAGAAAGAAAGTACTCCTACCTTTTGCAACAGCATGGATGGAAGTGGAGAGTACTATGCTACGTGAAATAAGCCAGGCGGCAAAAGACAAATACCATATGATCTCATCTACAACAGGAACCTAATGAACAAAACAACAAATGAGCAAAATAGAACCAGAGGCATGGAAACAAGGAACAAACTGACAGGGACCAGAGGAGAGAGGGAGAGGGGTAAGGGAGGAGTGTCGCGGTCCGGCCGCAGCTGGTTCCAGGGTTTCCTGAAAGGTGGGTAAGGCATCGGCGATGGGAGACAGATGACAACGCACCTCAAAGGACAGTGATGCTCTGTTCTGTTTATTGCAAGTACAAGCAGGTTTTTATACTTTCATTTTTGGTAGTGATTAACATTTGCAATTAGGTGAAGCAGAAAAAAATTAATACAAAGGTAACCAGGAAAAGTACAAAAGTTTCCATAGATTCAGTTATATTAAACAAAGATTGTTTTGACCAGGAGAGCCATAAATCAAACAATTAGAAATAGTTGTATGTACAGAGTTTGAATGTTTTATTGTTTATTAAAGTTCTCAGAATTTGTCATGGGGCAAAAGGATATGCTAGATTGAGTAGAGGTTATAGGAAATTTAAGGCCTTTGTGATGTCTAACTTAACCATCTATCTTTTCTGT